AACTCAAACATGCAACATTTCAAAAGTAAAAAGGGGCCACAAAGTCTCTTTCCTCTCACTCTGCATTCAGATCACACACAACTAGCAGGATATTCCACAAAGCACTGGCTACAGAGAGCACTGATGACTTGGGTGGCCACATGCACCCAGCGTTCTACAGCAGAGCCGCAGGCACGCTCCTCTGCAGGAGGGCGAGCAAGTGGCCCGCAGAGGTGACAGGTCCCAGAATGCAACCCTCCACCTTGATGCGAGCAGAGCCATGCTGGGACCTATAGCCTCCTGGGGCCACAAGGCCATGTTCTAAGATGGGAGCGGTAGCAATCTGATCCCATTAACGAAAACTAGCAGCAGCCTTGGGGGTCTTGTCATATTGCCAGCAAAGCCTGGGCACCTCTGCAGGAGAGGGGCATATTGGCAGGAGCTCATCAACACATTTTGTTGGCATCTCCTGCTTCCCCCTTGTTCCATTAGGTGAGAACACAAAACATCAACCAGAGCCCAGCACAAACCGTTCACACACAAAAAAAGGGCGTCGCAAGACAATACAGATCAACTGGGGAAGGTTATTGGTGGGGGGAGGGGGTGCTAACAAGCCTAAATCTGGGATGAGCAGAGTCAGGTTTAGAGCCCTGGGCTGTAGCAGGTCTCAGTCCATCTGTTAATGTTTGTAGCATGACCCTTTTCTGTCTGAACAGGGATTGGTCTGAAGGCTTTGCCCTCCCCTCATTCCAAACTAGATCTCCAGTCCCCATTCTTTGTCTTCACATCTCTCTGCAGCTGCTGCCATATCACATCTCACATTTTCCGTTTTGCTGAGCAGGGATTCGGGGGTCCTGCTCACCACACTGCTGGGTGACAACAAGGCAGCTGGTGAGGCTCTTAAAGGCACAGCTCCTCCAGCTGAACAGCTCACAATCTGAGCATGAATTCTGCTGTCTCTTAGGGGAAATGCTTTCAGTAGAATCCGGATGGCTGAGGAGGGTCAGGGCAGGTGCACACAACTGAGCTCCCACACATATCTACAGTAGAAGCCAGAGGGGAGCAGTCCTCTCCCTCCAACACTCCTGATCAGAGAGAGGAAGAGGTATCAGCAGTCGGGTTTAGAGGTTTCAGTGACTAGCTCCTGTCCAAATGTACAAATCGCACTGCACTTCTGGGATAATACAGCACAGGCCGGGACGCACACGCCTTCAAACAGGGTCATTTTAAAGAGCTTGTGCATGTTTCTGCTCCTCCCCCATACAAGATACAAATTATTATCTATCTAGTCACAAGCACAGAGCTGAGCAGAACTGAGGTGTTTGTGCAAAACCAAACCTTAGCGGCATTTTGCTTCTTGATCTCACTTTATACAAACCCTGAACATTTGGAGGTGGTTGGGAATCTAAGTGATTCTGGTTTTAGCTCATCTTACTAAAGATTAGACAACATCCCAGACCCCAAGAGCCTACAGCTTTGGCGCAGCACAGAGATCCCTTCCAGTGCTGCCAATATTTTAGCAAGGGACTCCCACAAAAATTTGCCCTCTTAGTCTTTGAAAAACCCTGTGTCCCCAGGATGCACGTGCAGCAGAAAGGAAAGAGTGAGGGGTGGAACTGGTTTATTTGTTTTCCATTTAACAAGCACTTTTTTTATAATCATATCCAAGGAGAGAGGCAACGATAACTTATATGAAGCTGCACTTTGCTGGAAGTGTTTATACTTTGATGCTCATAAACATACTGTGCATAATGCTAGCATAGTCCTGCTGTACTTGGGCAGTCAGAAATGGGGCAAGGGAGGGCCTCCTCCTCAGGAATCTCTTTCTTTAATATCTGCTTTTGGTGGAAACTCACACCATGACGAAGACAAAGCATTTGGACGTCAGTATTTTCATGAGGTCTAGAAAATAAGTGATTTATCAATAACCAAGAAGGATGAACTTGAGTCAGGAGAACCTCCAACCCTAAGCTCTAGCTCAACCAGACATTGTAGGCTAGCTGCAAGAACCACTGGGGGAGATTCTTTGGACTGTCTTATACAGAAGCTCAGACTCACTCAATGATCATAATGATCCTTTCTGGCCTTAAAACCTAGCTGTCTATGAACACTTATTTCAATGTGGAGCCAATTTTATCAAGTGGCTCCCTAGGTCACGCTCTACCATATTGTTATTCCCATACCCCTGTGGGAAAAGCTGGGCAGAATTCATGCAGCAACTTGCTTTCTTTTGCAGTGCACAGGAGGGCATGTCTGTCCGTGGTTTCGAACCAGCAGGAGCACAGTGTATTACTCCACAGGCCGAGGTTGAGGGTTCAGGAAAGGAACCTGAAATAAGCTGCTTATACTGAATACACAAGTCAGAAAGGTGTGATCAGAAGTACTGACACTCTGCCACACTCCACATGTACCGCTGTAGCAGCACATCACTCATCCATTTGGGAGCTCTTCCCTAATGTCAGGAAATATTGCTGTAGTATTATACAGCCAATTATATATTCAGCTACAGAAGTGCAGGAATCGTACTATACATGAGGGCTTGAAAAAAATCCACCCACCAGTCCCAACATAGAAGTCCTGCTTGGTGAGTGCCTAACTTAACAACTTCTTCAAAATTCTCCCATTTTAAACAAAAAAATGGGTCTCGCCCCCATGGTTGCAAAGCAAACCTTCCAAACGTGACCCACCTGAAATCAACATGGTGCTGACTTCCTGAGTCTGCAGACAGCAATGCCTCTGCACAACCAGATCAGTCTCACTCTACTGCAGTTTGGAAAGGTATAGAGCCCAGCTATGCTGCTGCTCAGAGTATGAATATGAAAAATGAAGTCTCCAGCAGGGAGAAATCCACCCCAGTAGAAACCCAATCCCTCTTCCTTCCCAGGAGCAGGGGTGGCAAAGGGGATAGGGTGCTGCAATTGTCACTCTGGCATTGCCGTGGGCCTCACAGTCGAACCCCAGTCTCTCATTTTATAACCAGTAGGATTGAATCCTTCTGCCCGCATCTAGTAAGATGTGTAACCCTGCTACATATGCACATTGTCACCAGAAAGGGATCACAGGGATGTGTAATTATTTAAGCTGGATAGACAGAATAGTTTTCAAATACATTCCTGGGAAACTGGAGGATTCTCATCTGTATTTTCCAACTGACAGTAACTCAAAGCCCTAAAGCTCCTCCTACTAATCCTGGCAGGAGTTTGGACTCCAGCTGTGAACAAGAGCTTTGCTAAAGGACAAAAGGCCTTGGGAAGCATCCCCAAGGGTTTTACTTCTGCACAGTGCTCATCTCAGAGCTGAAATCCCCACACACTTGCAATCTTCTGGCCTCCGCATCGGAGAACTGCCCTGTCTTCCAACCTGAGTCCTCAGCAACAGCAGGTGCAAAGGCATAAAAATCACCTTTCTGAACCCACTCCTGCTGTGACACGGCTCTTCAGATTAGAGGTGACTACATTTATCTCATCCAACATCACATCGCTTAGGCACATTCGGGGGGCGGAAGGTGCCTGCAACCTGCCTAGCCCCGTTTTCCTGTACTTTTCTTTAAAGTACAGTCACAGCTACAGATTTTCCTGTAGTCTCCAGCAATATTCAACCTCTGCATCACAGAGAACTTTGCTCATTGTCCCAGCCTGGATTCAGACCAGCTCCCTACAGGTAAAAGCCCCTTTATTCCATTCCCAATCACCAAGCCCTCCGTCCTGTTTCATGTGTTAATGAATTAGATAGCAAAGCCACAGGCCTGGAAAATGGCCCCGAGGGACATGCAGGCGCCATGCTGACAGCACACATGAGAAAGAACCAATGGAAAAGTAAATGATTTGGAAAATCTGTTCCCCAAAATGAGGCCAACTGCGTCAGCACATGCTGGGTGAACCTGTCATTGTGCTTCCCAAAGGCAATAGGTGCATGCAAATACTGCAAGAGCATCACACTTGCTTTGCTCTGCTCTTGCAAGCAGACAAGCATGGCAGAGTGGCAGTATGAGCCACAACACCTGGCAGACCTTATTCCATACTGACCAGCCCCAACCCCATTTCTACATCAGTTGTTAAGGGTTACACCTCCACCACACAGGCAAGGGGGCAGAGCCATGTCTGCTTAAGGATGGTGATCCTTTTCCGGAACTGAGAAATCTCCCAAGTCACAGGTCTAATGAGCTTTGAGCAGAGTTTTTAACATGTCATTATTTGTTTCTAAGGTCTAGGAAATGTTGTTACATTGCCATGACAACTTTGAATATCTGCAGCAGTTCTGTATCAGAATACTGAAAGGGGCCTGTCTGCGTGAAACCCTGACTTCCTGCCAATGTGCTTTCAAAAAAAAACAAAACAAAACACCACCCTACTACTTTATTTGACTTTGCATGAACTGAGTCTAAACCAGTAATCCACAGCTTTTAAACCGGGGGGGTGGGGGGGGGGCTGCACCTCCGTAAATGGGGCAACGCCAGCGGCAATGCTTATAGTGAGCAGTAAGGCAGGGGGACAGTAAGGGGCTAGTGAACCAGACCCGGAGCCTGTCCCCCAGGCCAGGTGCACCCAAGTGCAGCGCACCCCACAGCGATCTGCACAGTCCCTGCGGCTCCCTCCGGCAGCTGCACCCGGCAGCCTCCTTATAGATTTTCCTACAGCTCCGAGCTCCAGGCAGCCCCTGAGCCGGGCTTCCTCAGCCACCGAGCCGTGCCCGCTGCTCCGAGCCAGGGCCGCGGCTGACAACCCGGATGACAAGCGATGAACCTGACATCACCCAAACACAAACCTAACGGCTCCGCCGCCGCTCCCGCCCAGGGCCCGGCCCCGCCCCGGCACACAGCTGGCCTATGGGGGCGGGAGCAGCGAGAGCCCGGGGCACAACACAGCTGGGACCCGAGTGACGCCCCCGCCCCCTAACAGACCCCGATGTCTGCCCCGGCCCGTGACCCACAACCCCCGCCCGGCCCCGCTCCCGCTCCAACAACTCCCTGCGCCAGGTCCCCTCCGTGCCCTGCCACGCCCCGCGCCCGGCCAGCCCCGCACCTTGAGATAGTCGTTCTCGGAGCGCAGCTCCTCCAGCTCCCGCGCCAGGCCCTCCTGCCCCGCGTCCAGCAGCTCCTCGGTGAGGTCGGAGAAGGCCAGCGAGGTGCTGAGCTGCAGGCGGCTGCTGGCCATGGAGGCGGCGGAGGGCTCGTCGGGCGGCGGCGAGATGCCCTGGCCGGCGGGCAGGGCCGGGGCGCTGCCCGGGGACTCGGGGTCGCTGCCGCTGAGCTCCAGCGAGAGCAGCTTGGCCTCCTCCGAGCCGCTGCAGTCCGAGCCCTCCGAGCTGCTGTCCGTCAGGCTCAGGGGGGGCGGCGGCTCCTCCCCGGCTGGCCCCCGGCACCGCCCCTTCGCCTTGGCCCCGGCCCGGCCCGGAGCCCCCTTCCCGGAGCCCCGGCCGCCAGCTGGCTGCGGCTGCTTCCCCTTCTTCTCGGGCCGCCCGTCTTTGCCCCCGCCCGGCCGCCGCGAGTGCCCGGGCCCAGCGCCCTGCTTCCCGCAGAGCGAGGCCGGCGAGCCGGGGTGGCTGCCGCGCCGGCTCTTGGCCAGGGACCAGCCGGGCACATCCTTGGGTCTGGCCGGGGACGGCGCCCGCTGCAGCTTCTTCTTCTCGGGCGGCGGCGCTGGGGCCGGGCTGAGGGGCTGGCTCGGCTCCGCCTCGGCCGCTTCCATGCCGGCTGCGCGCTGCTCACCGGCCCCAGAGGCTCGGGCCGAAGGCGCGCATCCCCCTGGGCGCGCCGGGGATCGCAGCGCCGGCCCGGGAGCTCGGCGGCTCGCCCCAAGGGCTGCGGCGCGCCCCGCTGGCCGGGAGCTCGGGATCGGCGCGCTGGTCCCTGCTACGCCCGGCAGCTGGCTGGGTGCTGGGCTCTAATCAGCGCCCGGTGGCCGTCAGCGCGTCCCTCTGCAACGCCACGGGGATGCCTCCTGCGCCGGCAGCAGCGCTGCTCCGTCTGGGTGTCTCCGCCCAGCAGCCGCCGAGACGGTGACGCGCACGGTCTGGGAACAAAAGGCGGAGAGGGGCGCCAGAGGGGCGGTGGGATCCTCAAGGCAACAGCGACCCCTTCTCTGGCTGGGCTGCGAGGGGGAATTTCCTCCCGGCACAGTCAGAGCCGCGCGCCGCGCTGTGCGGGCACTGAGCTGGCTGGCAGGACGGTAGCTCGGGGGCTGGGGAGCAGCCTCCCTCTACTGGCCTCAGCAGCAGCCAGGAAGAAAATGATTGCGCCCTGCAAGGTACCATAGGGGTTAGGACCTTTCAGACACCCCAAGGAAAAGCATCTTCGAGCCCCATCTGTCTTGTGGCTCCACCACCCCATCCTTCTTGCTCAGCTGCCCCAACCTCGCCCGATGGGCTGGGCCAGTCTGTATTCTACCTTGGTGCCACGGTCTGCCCAGGATATCAGCTGGCAGCTCCTTCATGGAGCCGAGAGCAGGGGCATGTACCTGGTACGGTTCACCCCCCTCCCTAACACCCGCTTCTTCTGCGGTGTGAGGGAGACCCTGGTGCACATCTACCTGGAGTTTACCAGACTGCAGCCCCTTTTCCGGCTCCTCCAGAACCTTCTCCTCAGGTTCTGGTTGCACTTTCCCCCGCACCTCCTGATCTACGCTCACCCCATCCGTGGCCCCACAATGTCACGAGACCTCCTCATCAACCTCCTCCTGGCGCTGGCCAATGTGACCATCCATCATACCAGGAGGAGGAAGGTGCTCTGTGACTGTGGGGCCTATTTCCGCTCCTCCCTCAGATCACGTATCCAGGCAGAGTTCCTCTGGGCTGGTCCACTGGTCCCTGGAAGCCTTCGAGGAGCAGTGGGCGCTGTCCAGGGTTCTCTGCTTGGTGTCCCCTTCCGGCTCTCTGATTTTGCCTCTATGACCCTCACTCCTGTCCCCTGTTTGTCATTAGTTGTCCCCTGACTTCAGCTGAGAACTGGGTTCAGTGGCTCCTCCCCTTAGGCTTGGGAGGGGCCTTTACAGGAGGATGGGCTTGCGCTCACCCTTCCCCAGATCTTCAGTAGGTGCCCTAACCTCTCACCCCATGAAAGTGCTTTGTGAAATGCTTATTGTCAGCTGTGGTGCAATTCTTTTTTTGATACTGACCATATCACCATTAAAGTCTGTTCTTCAATCTCTCTAAGAGAAACACTGTCTTTGATGTAGCTGCTGCTATACAAGTTATACCCACATCGCAAACATTTACAAAATGTTGTAAACATGGTAGGACTCGGAGCATGTCAGGGGCCTGCAGAAATACAGCAAAGAAGACACAAAGAAGTAAAGGCCCCTCCTATAAAGCCTCCAAAGCATTTGCATGAACAACTCTCTGAGCCCTCACTTAAGCCTTTCCCCATGCCTGGAGCCCCCCCTCCCCCCCCCTCCTGCTAATCATCATGGAAATCTGTTCACTGGGATGATGGGGAAATCCATTTTGAGCCCTTTACCTTAATATGAACCCAACAAAATGCATACACAGCCCTCTGGTGGCTGGGCCCTGGTGGGTCTTTGGCTCAGTGGGAGAATTGTCCTTAGGAAAAAAGGCAATTTGTTGATAACTAGGGGAAAGCCTGGGGGAGTGGTATGATTTCAGAGCCTCAGGCCCTGCTCTTATACCCCATCATAAATCCCAAATTGTCATTTAAAATGTTCAGATTAATCTAAAAAGAGGAGCGTACTATGGGACCATAAACTTTGTCTCACATGGTTCATACACGCACTGTACTTACAGCCATGTTTTTGAACGCAGCCTCTAAAATTGCTCTTGCAAAGCAGTGTGTGTACAGAAACTCAGATTTGGATGTGCAAACTACATTTGCATGCATGCAGTTAGTAGGCCTCTAAGTGTCCAGAGTGCATGGACAGACACAGCTTTACATACACAAATCCACATTTTCAGCGTGCAGAAAAATGCTCAGAGCCTGCTTTGGAAAATGCATTGTTCCAAAGGTTCCTGTGGCTGGAGCTCAGCAATGTGGAGCAAGGGAAGCCACAATATGCGGCCCATCTAACTGCAGGGTGAAGGCAATGCTGTCTAGCTAGTGTCATTTATACAGCACTTTGCACCATAGCCTTTAAGCACTGATTCGCTTCAGGTTTGTAATGCCAGAGAACACAGCATTTCTTTTCCTCTCTGGAGAAAAATACAAATCCAGGCAAGTACTCTAGCAAGCTGCATTCATCTTTAATTTTAAATAAAAGTCTATGCACAATAGAGTTGGTTCCTAGATACATGGCAAGTCACCTATGTGCCTCCTCCTGGACACAATGTTTGGGGAACCCTACTTTACAGTACCCCAGACTTTATTATCACCTACAAGTACAAAAAAAAGCCATCTCCACACTCCTCTGCTTTCTTTAGTGCTAAAGGCTACTGCTAAGAATCCCATGACTAGAGCAATCACTCTGGACCATCCTTGGTCATATGCAGAATGAGAGGGAGGGCCATTAAAGCCTCCCCTGCAGAGGTGATAGGTGATAGGACTCCACCTAGGAAGCTGCCATGGGTGACTAGGTCAACATGAGTGTGCCTCCTGGTCTTCATAAAGCAGCTTTGCATCAAGCTGAGCCCAAGGAAAACCATCATTTCATGACAAGTCCAAGAGACCCTCGTTCAAAGATGAGTTCAAAGCCTTCAATAATACCTTCAGAGAGCCACAGAGCCCACTGCAGGCCTATGGCAAAGCTGTTAACGCACCAATGGATAATTTGAGGCCACCTCCCTGAAGCCTCATTACTAGTCACAAACCCTCCATTACAGAGGTGCACTAAGCACATAAGGATGAAGTCATTTTTCCCCCTTTGTAAAGCTGATGTTATCACCAAGACCTTTTCTCTCCCCAGAGCAAGGGATGTGGTGTTTTCAGCCTGGATGGATTCTCTGGGCCAAACGGGCCAGTGCACCCCAGCATTTTACCGACTCAGATAGCAAATGAAACCTGAGTTTGCAACCCTGTGACCATAGGACTGGAAGGAACCTCCTGGGTCGTCAAATCCAGTCCCCTGCTATTACAGGCAATGCCATCATATCATCCCATTAATCCATTTCCAAACTCCATTCTAAGCCTAGCCAGGTTTCTTTTGCCCCCCACACTTCCTATTGGGAACCTGTTCCAGAACCTCACTCTTCTGCTATTTAGAAACCGTCTTCTGTTTTCCAGCCTATGTTTATTCATGGCCAGTTTATACCTATTAGTTCTTGTGCCAATGCTGTCCTTTAGCTTCAATAGCTGTTCAACCTTTATAGAGAGCAGTTTGTATTTATAGAGAGCAATCAGATCCTCTCTCAGCCTTCCTTTTGCTAGGCTAAACGAGCCACACTCTTTTAGTCTCCTCTGGTAAGAGAGGCGCTCTATTCCTCTGATCATCCTAGTAGCTTTCTCTGCACCTGTTCCAGTTTAAATTCACTTTCATCCCAGAGACCATGCACTGATTCCCATGTCTCCTCCTCTCTCTAGTGATCTGTGCTTTGAGTTTTTCTTCACCAGATGGATGATCTGCTTTTCTTGGAGATGACCATTATTTCCTGCCCCTGTCTCTGATCTCTCCAGACCCCTTGTTGCTATTGCACTGTCCTGCTTGGTGTTCTCATTCCAATTTAGGATCAGCTGTGAATGCCATGAACATGCTGCTTACTCCCTCTTCCAGACTGATAGCAAAGCTGTTAAACAAGACCAGGCCTAATAGAGATCCCTCAGGTACCAGAGGCCAGATGCCTTCTCACAACTCACTACTTTCTCATCACTCTTTGCCTAGGCCCTGCTGCCAGTGTTTAGTCCATGTGGCAGTGTTTATACCCTAGCAGATTAAAATGAATTGTGAGCAGCCTGGTTTCATGGACCTGCTTTCCCTCAATGTGTTTATAGAAGCATTTCTGGCTCCCCTGTTACCACATTCCTCTTTGTTACTGCCTTAACCTTGTCCTGGAATTCTTAACAGAGCTGGGCACTTTTTTTTGGTGCCTCTGCCTTCTCCCTTGCCAGGACAGAATTCCTTACCCTCTGGCCTTGGAGCAGCCCTTTACTGAGCCATTTCTTGTTCCTAGCACTGTCCCTTGTCACAGGAGTTGCCAACTGTTGTGCTTTCATTGTGGTTTCTTTTACTATTGCTCCACCAGTGTGTGGCCAGAGCAGGGTGTGTGAGGACTTTATGAATTGATAGCAGCAGGTGACAATCCTGATCCAGACAAGAAAACAACCTCTGGACCTTAGCACGCCTTCCCTTCAGACTTCACTCGCCAGATTTTTTAAAACCCATTTTATTTCGTCATTAACACGCATGAACTTTCTATACAAGAACTCGTGAGTGTCACCTTTAACAGACCCACACGCACTACATTGAATTCCTCAACACTTGCTTTCTGGAGTCTAATCTCTTTGTACACAGGACTGTGGGAATTACCAGCATGGATCAGATCCAAGGTCTATGGTACCCTAGTGTCCTGTCTCTGAAAGTGGACAGTATCAAAGGGAGGTGTAAGAACCATTTAGTGGTGATGTGGGCTTATCTCACCACATTAGATTTGCTGTGCTCTGTGCATCCTCTTTTCCTTCCTAGGATGAATTTCAGTCATTGATAGTGCCTGGTTTCAAGAATATTATTTTTTCTCACAGGAGAATAGGAAGACGAGGTGGGTGAGGTAATATCTTTTATTGGACTAACTTCTGTTGATGAGAGAGACACAGAGCTCTTCTGCAGGTCTGGGAAAGGAACAGGTATAGAATAGGAAGGCAGGAATTGCTGGTCTAGAGATCCAGTTAGGCTGGAATCCTCATCTCCAACAGTGACCAGGACCAGATGCTTCAAAGGAAGATACAAACCTCTCATGAGGGACATGCAATAAACATGACTATGGACTATGGTTTCTTCCAAACCTGACTTCCGTGGGCTTTGGATCAGGCCTGAGCAACTGGTTCATGTGCTAAAGCATGAAGGTTTCTAGCGTTCTTTATTTTATACCTCTGTCCT